TCTGCTGTTATTTCCATTGCCTTGGGAGTGTACAGAAATGTGCTATGCTGTTGAATGGGGCCTAGAGCCTCACAGCCTCTTTGTGAGGATTGGAAGGGGAGGGTCTCTGAGGGGGCTCTTTGGCTTCCTCCTAGAATGGCTCATACCAGAAATTCCAGCTTCATCAAAGTGAGGTCTCCCTCCTCCCTACCCCATGGTCAGGGATCTCAGCCCAGCTGGGCAGCAGCAGGGTGCTGATCAGTTATTAAAAGCTGAGCTGGTGGCTGGGCTCAGTACAATTCATCAGGCCATGGCCCTCTGGGAGTGATGGATGGTGACAAATGAGGGTAGGTAGGGGGGGTCCCTGAGCTACCCATGGCCACAGCTGGGGAAACTCAGCCATCAAAGCCTGGGTTTCTCAAGTGGGGGTGATTCTGAGGGCCAAGGGGATCAAGTTTCGGGCAAATGGTTTAGGGGCGGAGATACTCTGCTACAGCAGACACACTGCGGCTCAGTGTATCCTGTGGGGCCCCAGCAGCTCAGGGGCACGGAGCTGAGTTGGACAGAAGGGGGGTAGGTCCCTCTGATCCCAGCACTGAGGGAAGGAGGTCTGGGGGAGTGGGCAGGAAGAGGGGCAGGAATGGGACTGGGAGGGGGCTGCCTTTCAGAGATCAAGCAGTGTCATTAAAGCAGGTGTGGGGACTGCTGGCTTCACAACCAGCCAGCTTCCGCCTCCGGGATCCCAGCTCTAGCAGGGCAGGACACAGAGAAGAAGGCTCTGGTTGGTCAGAGGCACTCTGCGGTTCCCCCAGATCAGTCAACGAGTGGAAGGAGTCCAGAAGGGGCAGTCAAGGGAGCTCTCCAGGTGAAGTGGGACTAAGGCTGTGGAGGCTCGAAGGGGAGGGTCAGAGGGAGAGCCTTTCTGAGGGACCAGATTGCAACTATGGGCACAGCAGGGGGCTGGGAAGTGAGTGGGAGCTTGAAAGAAAGTACAAGAATGTTGCAAAAGTCACATCAGAGCAGGACCCAAGTTCTGAGACAAGAGAAGGGTGGAAAGCCCTGTCCTGTGTGGTCAGCAGATCTGCCAGCAGTCGGTGGTCAGCTTAGAGTTCAAGCCCACTTCTCAAGGCAGTACCATAGTGGTACCACCCAGAGAGGACATAAGGGGAAGGAGACTCCCAGACAAACAGCTGTGCAATCTTCGTGGCCTGTGTCACTTCAAATCTGAAGGTCCAGAAGCCTGAGTAGCATCTGGAAGCCACTGGCCTTGCATTAACCATCTCACCAAAAGGGAGCCGCCTTACTCCATGAGAGTAAGAAAGTCGCCTCTGCCTTGAGCAGAAGCTGAGCTTCACATCATCCCTCCCCTGGTCTGTTCCTCGCTCCCCGGGGAGAGGAAGAACATACTACTCTCCTGGCACAGCCAGGTACTCTGTTCTGTTTCACCTTACTCCAACTCAGCGCGTGCTGGTATAGGTAAGGAAGCATAGAAGTCTAGGGAGGCATCCCACGATGCTCTGACCCTCCTGTTTGGCAGAGGAAGAAAGAGATAAAGAACACCCACATTAACTTCTCTCAAGCTTGGCAGCCAATAGACCTGCTTCCCAGCCCACTGTGTGGAGCCAAGATAGTTTGGCCCCTGTCTGTGTTTAGGTTGTTTAATGATGTTGATGGTGGTGGTGGTGTGTGTGTGTGTGTGTGTGTGTGTGTGTGTGTGTGTGTACACGCTATGTACAGATAGGCAGACTCCCAACCCTCTGCTTTACTTAGAGCTGACTGCCTTTCTGTTTACCTGCATGATATCTGGGGGCCACCACCCAGCCCCACAGTAGACTTAAGCACCCAAGGGCCCTGTATCTTTCTGTGAGGTTGGGGGTGTAGCTAAGTTTTGGATGCTGTGGGACTTGGGGTGTGCTTCTGGGTTTAGAGTTCAAGGCTGGGGTAGGCGGGTGGAGAGTGATGAGGGTCTGCAGGCTCTGGGTAATGCTCACCGAGGCTTGGGCCTTCTTTCTCCCTCTCCCCAGGCTGAAGTCTTGGGGTTTTTGAATGGGTATGTGTGTGCTTGTGAAGTTCTGAGGGGCCTCAGGGGAAGCACTGGTGGTCTGGGGTCCTTCTGAGGTTCTGGGGTGCTACCCTCATTCCTGGCAGGTTGCTGTTGGTGCCTTCTGAGCTTAGCACTTTGCCCTTTGAAGATTTTGATAACCACAGGCATGCACGTGGGCCTCTATTCCTGGACACAAACATTCCTCAGGGTTAATCAGCTTGAACAAAAACACAGAGAGGAAGGAAGCCTTGGCCCAAAGTTTTTAGGGACCAGCTCCATCCCAAGGGACAAAATTTCTCCCTATCAAGCCCAGATGGCCAATGGCCTTAGCTAGAGGAGGTCTTGGCATTTGGGCATCAGCCTCATCTTAGTCACCAGAGCTCAGATAGGCTACCCTCCATTGCTCCATTGGCCTCTTGTATCCCCTCTCTCTGCTTCCTAAGACACTTCATTCTTGTGACCATGCCTAGATCTCTCTGACCTCACATACCCCCTCTGCTAGGAAGCCCCCAAGATTGATCTTCCTCCTTTGCCCTCTGCTTTCCTCGGGTCTTTACAGCTTTTTCTTACAATGGTCTCTTTTCTCTGGCACCCTACCCTGAGAGTAGAACTTACCTGCTGTTTTCCTGGGTACATGGGCCACCAAGGAAGAGGCTGGGCCTGTTGTCCAGGACTTTGCAGAAACCATTCAAGAGCATGTCTTACTATTCCTGGATCCCAACCTCTCTCCTTATTGGCTTGCCCCTATGGCTAGGAGATCTGATTTATCCCCCATCTTCTCAGAGCTAGTCCTCTGGTTTGCAGGTAGAAGGACCACACTGTTCTTGTTTCAGGCTGAGGAAGAAAGAACCTTGGGCTTAAGAAGTGGGTTTGTCTTCAGCTGGTGACACATGGTTACCCATCGCCCATGGATCCCTCCTGGCCCCACTGGAGTAGATGGGGGAACCAGAGGGTAGGTAGAAGTCATGGGGGGCACTGAACAGCCTCAGCCAGGCTCTGTGGCTTTGATATGCTTGCTACAACAAGGTCTGTGTGGTGCGTCCACATTCTTAAGCCATGAAGTCACTGAAGACAGTCTTGGGGGAGAAGCCACAATAGAAGGATCTATAGGCTGGATGCCATGGGATGCCACTGGATGCCAGAACCAGTAGAGCACAGGTAGTCTGCCTCTCCCTAAATGTTCCTTCCCACTGCCATGTGGGAACCTGTCCTGCTTCCCCTGCCAGGGCTGCCCTGCCCCAGGCACTAGCCTCAAGGCTGCTCCTGGGCCCATGCCAACAGAGAAAACCACTTTTTATACTTTTCTTATCCGTGCCATCAAGGTGGCTGCTGCATCTCTCCAGGATAAAGGGAGATGGTATCTCGGTGTCTGGGGCAGCATTTATATGAATCTCCTCAGCGGGAGAAGATTTGGTACAGGGAGGTGGGGGCAGTGACTATGCCTGGCCTTGACAAGTCTCTTTGGCTTCACCCTTGAGTGGACAGAAGCTCTTCAGGCAGCCTGATGGGGTCCCGACCTCCCTCCCCTCATGTCTAGACTGCATATCACCTGCTCAGTGAAGCCGACTGAGCTCTCTTTGTTAAAGGTATCGGAGGAGGCAGGGTTAAAATCAGTAGGGGCCGACTGCTCTCTATGCTGAGTGTCTGTGACCCTTGAGAGGTGAAGGGCATGCTAGGCTCTGGCACTGGAGCAGTGGGCTCCAGCAAGCTTGGCGCATAGTAACCTTATGGCGCAGGCCCAGGAGTGGAGAAGGGTCGCTGAAGCAAGGAGTCCTTTTGCCAGACTGTTTCTAAAGTCCCTGTGATCTGGAGACCAGGCACTGTCCCAAGGGAAGGAAAGAGAGCAGGGGACTGAGAAGCAGGGCCCTGTCCACAGAGTCTACAGGAGGCCTGAGAGGCAGGTTTTGCCTGAACCCTGAGATCAGACAGGGCTGGTGTAGGCACCTGTGTTGTGTCTGAGAAAGCTCTGCTTGAGCAATTCTTCTGGGGGATCAGGAGGGAAGTTGGAGTCTTCCTCTTGGAATATAGGTCCTTCAGGAAGGAGGAAGAGAAGGTTCATAGGGCTCAGGCCACCATCAGCCCTGCTGGGCCTGGCTGGCAGTGCAGAGGACAGCTTATGAGATGGAGGCCCTGTTTACTCTGAACTTCACGAGGGGCTTCCCTCTATAGTGAACAAGTTCCCCTCTGCTCTGTCTGGGCCTGCTGACCAGCTGGTGTCCTTCAGAGCTCTCATGTCACAGTACTGGCACATAGTAGGCAGTCAGTAAGTTTCTGTTGGAAGAATAAATGAATTAACGTTTTGGGGTTTTTTTTTTTGTTTGTTTGTTTTTTAAAGGAGGAGTGTGTCAGATGGCTCTGTGGGTGAAGATGTGTGTCACAAGGGCCCACAGTCCAGTGCTCTGTCCTCCCTAGGACCCAAATGGTTGAGAGAGAGAGAGTCAATTCTTATAAGCCATCCTCTGTGATGGCATGTGCTGCCCCCCCCCCAGACTACACACCCACAAATTAAAATAAATGTCATTAAAAATGCTTTTAAAATCTAGCTGGGCAAGGCCATGGCCCAGATTCTTTCAGCATCAGTGCTGGGAGGGTTGTGGGGCACTGAAGGGCTGGGAGCCTCAGAGTGTTAGGTCCTGAGCTAAGCTAAGAAGAGCTTTCTGCTTTGTCTACCTTTTGCTCCTCCCTACAGGCTGGGCCAGGGAAGGGAGGGGGCAGCCAGGGGTCCAGCTCCTCTGGGACGATAGGAAACCCTCACCCCTTCACCAGGGCTGGAACAAACACAGCAGCAGGCAGGCGAGGTTCATCTTCTTGCAGGTCTGGTTTGAGTTTGAAGGACTCATTTCCGCCTGTGGGGGTGAGTTATCTTCTTGTGAAATCAAGACGTAAGAACAAAAAGGTTTTACTAGTGTAACACGTGTGTTCTCCCTCATATATACTCAGGAGGCCATGTGGATAGGTTCCTCCCTGTCTCTGTGGCCAGCCTCTCAGTAGGGTGTTGTCCTAAGATGCCACAATGCTGGTCTTTGCAGAGGGGCTGTGCCTAGGGGGGAGAGTTGGGGCAGGTGCTAGAGGTAGACATGTGCACAGGCAGCAGCCATCCATCTGCAGGGGCTCAGCAAGAATTATGGTGTGTTCCCAGCACTGAGGCCAAAAAGGTAAAGGGGCAGGCCAGGGGCAAGCAGACACTGGGGGACGGTCTCAAGGGAGCCTGGGCAAAGAGGGGAGGGCTTGTGCTGGACCCCAGAGCAGGAGGGGTGGGGAGCCCAGCTGTGGGACAGACCATGTGGAGCCGGCCACAGCCCGCCCACCCTTTCATCTCTGCAGCTCCTTCCTCCTTGGTCCCCCTTTCTACTCTGTCTGCGGGTCCATCTGGGTGGGCTTGGGGCGGGGAAGGAAGGGGTCTGTGCGGGCACTAGGGAGGGCAGTTTGCACTAGGGAAATCTTTGAAAGTGGACCAGCTGGTAGCAGGTCAGTTGGCCCAGTAGGCGCTCCAGCAAGAGCCTGGAACTCCAGGGGTGCAGGAAACTCTGTCAGACCAAAGCAAGATTGGGTGGGAAAAGACAAGAGGAGACTCCTGGGTGCCCCCCCCACCCTACTCCCCTCACTGCCAGCCCTCCCCTGACCTGAAGTCCCAGACAGCTTTTCCCAGAGAGCTAAAAGCAAGAAAGTAACCATTGGGATTAAGAAGAAATGTTCCTTTGTTTCGGGTTTTTCTTTCTTTCTTTTCTTTCTTTTTTTTTTCTTTTAAGCCTCTTTTCACATTTGTATGCCCCCCTTTTTCTTTTTTTGTCTCTCCCTTGTCTGGGTTCAAGGAAGAAGGGTTGGAGCATGGCATCCCAGGCAGCAGAGGATGGGAACCAGACCTCCTCCGGGATGACAGATGACTACAGCAGCTGGTACATCGAGGAGCCTCTAGGGCCTGAGGAGGTGCAGCCAGAGGGGTAAGTTTGGTGTTTGGCTCAGCCAGCTATCAGAAAGGGTTAGGGTAAAGAGGTTGCCGAGATGGGGGCAGAGAGACCCTGGGCAAGTGTTTAAGATTAGCTCTCCCGTTTATCTGCTGTGTGATTTTTGGGCAAGTCACAGCCTCTCTGAACTTCAGGCTATCTCTAAACCCAAGAACAACAGTTCTTGAGCTCTGGTTACAGAGGGCTTGAGGCCATCTGGCCTATAGCCAGCCAGGATGAGAAGCAGTACGGTGTCACAGACCTCTGTGACAGGTATAAGCTTTATACCCGGAGCTTTAGAAGCATGGGGGAGTCAGAAACCCTTGCAGGAAAACCTGGGGAGTTACTGAGGAAAGCTAGGGCCATCTCTGAACCACTCTGAGTGGGGTTTAGGGAGGTATGGAAGGCTGGTTCTTGCAGCAAATGCACAGGCTAGCCCAGGGAGGGTGTGCATGCAGTCCAACTCACCTCGCCCCACGGGCATCCTGAGAATTCTTGGCCTGGACGCTTCCTATCTGTTTAGTCTGGGCATTGAGGTTTTCTGTGGCACGGCACTCTCTTCCCTAAGACCCTCTGCCTCCATGGCACTCTGAGCTCAGCTCTCTGGTATTGTCCCTGGCCCTTGCTTTATCTGAGGGTTTTTGAAGAACTGGAAAGGTGAGGCAGAGAGGTGGGGGTGGGGTGATATGGGTGGAGGGGAGGTACTAAGCCAGATGTGTGTGCATCTGTTCCCCATTAAAATTTGAAACTGGAGAAGGAAAAACCGCTCAAGTGCTTCCCCAGAGGCTAGGGCTGTGGCATGGCTTAGCTGGGGTCACCCAGCAGGGACTGAGGCTCCACCCAAGCCTGAGGGAAGGTGCTGTTGTTTGGAGGACTTAGGGTTCTGGCCACCTGCAGAAGAAGTCTGTGGTCAGCAAGGCCCTGGTGACCCCCTCCCCAGGCATTCCCAACTGGGCCATGCTGGCATGGACTAGAGGAGGGGCCAAGCTCCTAATTTAGGGTGAGAGCCCAATCAGAAACTGTGTCCTTGAGAGTGTCAGGGACTAGGCTGGGCATGGGCTGGAAGCCAGGTGCCTGCAACGTGTCCTATTGTTGGGGAATCTGTGCACAGTCTCAGAATAAGGAGAGTGTATGGTGGGAACCGGGTCTGCAGAGAAAAGGGTCTGTAGAATGAAGGGGATTATTACAAATTTACTTATATAAAAAACAAAACAAAACAAGTCTAGTCACATCCTACTGCCCCCACCCCAAGATGAGAACGGGAAGCCCGGAGTACAGGGGATTCCCTACGAGGTGAACTTGGGTTCACCTCTGCCTATGTGAGTCAGACACCCCAGGGGTATGCTACATCAAAGCTTTGAAGACTTCCAGGATGCAGACTCTCTGTACCTTAGTGTGCCCCTGCACTGCAGGATGGAGCTAGGGTGGGGCCCCAGGGTCAGGATGGTCTCAGCCACAGACTTCTAAGCTTGAGGCCTCTGCCTTGTGCAGGCAGACTCCACAGTGCCTCCCATACCGGCTTTAACCTTGCCCTGGCCTCGCTCTGGACGAGCTAATGGGGAGACGTATCTAGTGCCAGCCACACTGTCTTCTGCTCAGGCTTTTCCCACACCTCTTCCCTTCTTTTCCTATGGAGATGCCAACCTTCTGTCCAACTCAAGCCCCAAACCTCTGCAAGGTGACTTTTTCATAGCTGTGATCCAGTTTTGACCCCCCCCAACCTTCTTCTCAAAAGCCTGATAGAACTTTCTCTCCCCTTTACACTCTTTAGTACCTGCTTGTAGTTCTCCCAGGAGGGAGTTCCTTGCTCTTCCCATGGTAATATCTATGCTATCCTGTCTGACCAATCACACAAAGCCTGAGGCCCCACTCATCCCCAGTGAACACACTAAACCAAGGTGTCAGGAACTTTATGTTCAATAAGGACCAGAGGTCCCCCCAGACAGGGCCCTAAATAAGGTTTCCAGGGTTGAGGTGGCTTTTGGTTTGTTGGGGGTTGCTCAAGGGACAGCATGTTTTATCCCTGTCCTGGTAAAGGCTGGAAGCACTGGGCTGAGCCGAACTGGACACGGAGAAGGGTTTAGGGACTTACGTGATGCCCCTGAGGCCCAGAGGCTGGTCACACTGCACATATCCAAGCTCAGACAATGGATATCCAGCTCTTACACTCCTGCATGGCAGGCATGTTGCCTATGGGAGCAGCTTTGCCTGGGCTAGAAATTGCACCGTAAGACCCAGTTGACTCCTCCACCTCAATGATGAGCTCAGAGAGTCCCCAAGAGAAAGCCAGCTGGAGGGAGCAGGCCAGCCCAGTGATGGTCCTAGGGCTCTGTACACCTCTTTGCTCAGTAGCATGCAGGTGTCTAAGAGGGTGGCCTAGCCTCCTCGCCAGGGAAGTCAAGCCACAGCAGACTCATTCCAGCTTCACCCTTTCCCTACTCTGCACTCCCAACTCCTCACTGCCCTCCCCCACCTCCCCACCCCACACACACCACAGCCCCATCTTCCCAGGCCTGATGTTGGAAACATCCCTCTGGTTCTCAGACCCAAGCTTGGCATTCTAGAGAACTATCCCAGCCCTGGCAGCCAGTCTGCCTGCTTACCTGTCTTTAGTTCAAGCTTTCTCTGCCACATGACCCAGCCATGGAAGTTGCAGCATTCGTGGTCCTCATTGAGCCCTTTATTTCCACTGGCTTCCTTCTGGGCTTAACTACCTTCAGAGCAGGACCTCTGCCGGTCCTCCCAGGGAGCCTCTGTGGTGATTAAGAAAAGGGACATTTCATTTAGTGTGTTCAGCTCAGTAGGCAGTGGAGCATGGAAAACTGTATGGCCTGGATCCCTGACTCAGGTCCCTGTGTAGCAATATAACCTGTTTGGCACTACACCAAAGCTTTTAATGAGATGGAATGGGGAAAGAGAAAGGGCCCTTCCAGTTCCAGATACATCAGGCATCAGAAGCAAACCAGACAGGACTAAATGCTGGACTACTTGATGGTATGCTCAACCTCTGCTCCACAAGGGTCCGTGAGGCTCTGGGCAGTCAGGAGTCTCCTAGAGGTGGTTGGATGATGATGACCTTGGAGTATAGGAAGTGTTTGGGTGATCAAGAATAGATATTCAGACACAGCTTGCGTACTCTGCATTTCCCATCACTCCCTTGTCTCTAGCCCTATAGCATGGCACAGGACCAGCACAATGCAGGGGTATGGAGGTCCAGACTGACCCTGAAAAGCAGAATTAGGCAGGCTGGGGTAGAGGTAGAGGAAGGGAGATGCTGATGAGGCCTCCTCTAACACTAGATCCAGCTAAACCTGTCATTTGTTTGTTCCACAGAGTGGACCCCCCCTGCCAGCCAAGTGCACCACCTGCCCTGACCCATGCCTGCCTGGCCTCACTGTCAGTAAGTCCAGCCCAGCTTGCCACCAGAGGGATTTGTGTTCCTATTTGGAATGATGCTGGGAACTTAGTGCCCCCCAAACCAGAAGTACTGACCAAGTCCAACCCTCATAGACTCTGTCATCTTTTAGCCAGACCCCACAAGATCACCTGAGCATGCCCTGGGTGGGTGAGGAGTACTTTGAGATTGGCAGGGACAAGTCTTGGATGTCTGGGACGCCTGATATCCAAGCCCTTTTCTGCTCTCTTCTTCCAGCTCCTGGCTCTCTTGCTGCTGGCCTTGCTGGTGAGGCGTCGCAGGCTTTGGCCACGATGTGGTGGCCGCAGGCCCGGACTGCCCAGGTTGGTGCTAGCTCTGGGAAGTCCCACTTGAGGCCCAGCTGACAAGGCTCCTCTGGGAGGGTGGGTGGCAGCTCTGACTTCAGAAACACCCCTGACTCTCTCATTCTAGAGTCCTCATCTCAGGTTGGTATGACCGAGGGAGGTGGAGGGGCTGCTCCATCCACCTGCTTGAGTGTTCAGGAGCTAGGGGAAAGAATTCCAGGGAAATGAAGGTCCTGGTAGGCATCTTAGAGTGGCAATAACTCCTGGTGTTGTATCATTGTATTCCCTTGAGAACATCCTCTGATCACAATTTGTGAGTGATTACAGTCCCCACGGCTGCAACTTCCTTTTTTCTTTGGCTGTGTAACTCACTTCAGAGAATGAGGCAGGTATCACTCTGAGGACACAGGACTGGGCTGCGTGAAGAAGGAGACGGCAGGTTCAAGTCCTCTGGGAACTGGGGACTTCTGTGGAAGCAGCCTGAGATGTCTGGGGCAGGGAGAAGTCTACTTCACTGGGGAGTAAGGTGAAGGAGGTTGGACTCTTAGAGAACCAGGGCAGCTAGAGTAGAGACGCAGAGACCAAAAGCCTGAGACTGCCGTGCCCGCTGTCTGCCCTCTGCCCTGATCCACACCCAGTCCAAGGAGACGGTCTTGCACAAGGATGTTATGACTCGCTGTGTTCTCTGAAGGCCTGCCAGCCCAGACAGACAGATCTACTCCCATGGAGGCGGATGTTTCCTGGAGCTCTCCTGGAGGGCGGAGCACCAAGAGCTTGTTCCCACCTGCCTTTAGCCTCAGGGTCCAGCTCAGGATAGGCGCTAGGCCCTCTGCAAACATGCTGGCAGTGAGTGACTGGGCAGTGAAGAGAGATCTCCGTTCTCCCCTTTGGATGGTAGACTGACTAGTTCCCAGTTTAGGGGGCATAGTGTGAAGGGGCAAAGACTCAGAGACTGAGTGCTTTCCCTGTGTCCTGTCTGTCCGTGGCAGCCCTGTGGATTTCTTGGCTGGGGACCGATCCTGGATAGTGCCCACTGCTGTCTTTGTGGTACTCTTCAGCAATCTGTGCCTGTTGCTCCCTGATGAGGACCCACTGCCTTTCCTGAGACTCAAGGCAGCATCCAGCCCAGGTATCTATGCAGGGAATTCTGGGGCTGGCCTGATGGGAAAAGGCAGGGTGTGGTCCTGGTTTGTTAAGGTTGGCTGGGGGGAGGTGATAGCAACAGGAACATCTGTCAGTAGGGGGTACTCTGGCCGCAGAGTGACCTCTTTAGATCAACAGTCTCTTCAAAGGGTGGAAACATTAATAGCTCTAGTTTACAGTAGAGAGAACTAAGGGTCAGAGAAGAAAGCAGTGATAAAACAGTACTTAGTTTGCCGAGTACTTACTCAGGTACCGTGCTAAAACACGTGATTCTTTCCTTTTCACAGACGGGGAGACAGAGACTTCAAGAGGTAATTTGGCTAAGATCATAGCCTTTGCTCCAACCCAGGCAAAGTGAGCTCTTACCCACTGAAGAACCTGAGGGGCTTAGAAGATAGACAGGAGAGATGCTTCAGGTCCAGGCCCTCTGCCTTTCTCTCCATTAGTGGCTGTCATTTGTTTCACTGTCTAGGGCCCTGGAAGCTACTGGCCCTGCTCTACTACCCAGTCCTTTACTACCCTCTGGCTGCTTGTGCCACGGCAGAACACCGAGCTGCGTACTTATTGGGTTCTGTGCTATCCTGGGCTCACTTTGGAGTTCAGGTCTGGCAGAGAGCCGAGTGTCCTCAGGACCCCAAGGTAACCCCCATTCACAGTAGCCTAAGGCAATGGGTGCACCTGTTTGGTTCTTCTCGCCTCTTTCCACACACTGGGCTTCCCTGCTTCCCTCCATTATTCTCAGGCTCTCATGCCCTTCAACCCACATCTGTGCCAAGCTTGGCTGCTCTGGGGCTGAGGCCTGGGGTAGCGACCTGGGCCCATCCCCAGCAGCTGTCAGCCTAGGAGGGCAGAGTGAAGATAAGGAAGCCTATAGCATCCCTCTCTGGTTTCTGAGCCCTCCTTTGGGCAGGGAGAATAGACAGAGGCAAGTGCTGAGTGAGGAAATAGCCTCAGAGGTCAAAAGAAGAATTCTAGAACCCCAGAACAGCTTTGCTGGCTACTGGCTGAGACTACAAAGCCCCTCAATCCAGACCCACAGAACAGTGGTGCCTCGGCTTTCTAGCCAGACAACCCAACATCCCAGCTTCACAGTGTCATTCACTTTCCAGTCACCCTTCACTTCTTCAGTCCCCACTTTCTTCATTCAACATTTTCAGGTGTGAAATATACAAAATAAAAAATCCCTGACCTTCTAGGAGCTGCCCTTCCAGAAGAGACACAATACACAAGCAAGGTGATGTTACCTAGTACTAAGTGCTCAGAGAAGAGTCACTTGTCTGAGACTCAGTTTCCCAGCCTATACATGGTGTTGGCAGCACCAGTGTCTCCAGGAAAGTGAAGAGTAGTATTTTTTTTTTAAATTCCAGGCATCATGGATCTCATCTGTAATCCCAGCTCTTAGGAAGCTGAGGCAAGAGGATCACTAGCTTGAGGCCAACTTGGGCTACATATCGAGAGCTTGTCTAAAAATAGCAAACAAAGATCCCAAACATAAAAAACTAAGAAGCTTTTTTGCTAAGGGACTTGGGTATTGTTCACCATGTAGAGCTTGGCACACATTAAGTTCTCAAGAAAAACACACTGAATTGAAAATCAAATAAATGAACATGGAAGGGGCTGACCCAGCGAGGTCTCACGTGGGTGTTGGGGCATGTACTAGACAAATGTACCAGACAAAATTAGGTCTTTGTCTGTTTTTAAATTTTATTTAACTTTTTAAATGTATATGAGTGTTTTATTTACAAGTATGGACACATGTGTATGTACCACATGCTTACAGTGTTCATGATGGCCAGAAGAGGGCACCAGATCCTCAGAACCAGAGCAGCAGATGGTTGTGAACTGCCAAGTGGGTTCTTGGAACCAAATCCGAGTCCCCTGGAAGATCAGCTGAGCCATCTCTCCAGCCCCCTTTTGGTCTAGTGTGTCCTAACATGCTGGGAGCACAGACATTGAGAAATTGGGTGTCTGGTTTCAGGCGTCACTGAAGTCCATGGGAGTATAGGAAGGAAGGGGTTGTGCCACCTTCTTTAGGTCTCTGTTTAAGCCTTTAGGACACAAGATGGGGAGGTAACCCAGTCTAGAGGTCCTAGAACTAGAAGGCTTACCATGGCCTGTGTTGGGTGGGAAGGGACATGGACCCTGGGAAGAAGGCAGATGGTAGGTCTGATTGAGTGTCTCTCTATCTAGATCTATAAGTACTACTCCTTGCTGGCCTCCTTGCCTCTGCTTCTGGGCCTGGGGTTTCTGAGCCTCTGGTACCCAGTGCAGCTGGTGCTGAGTGTCCGTCACCGGATGGAAGCAGGATCTCAGGTAAGCGGGCTCCCAAGTAAAGTGTGTACCAGCACTGTCCTGACACCTGCCTGCTTATGTCTGTGTCCCCTGTGTTTTAAAATTGCATCTCCCCCCCTGTGTGTGTGTGTGTGTGTGTGTGTGTGTGTGTGAGAGAGAGAGAGAGAGAGAGAGAGAGAGAGAGAGAGTACCAGAGTCAAAGGACAACTTTTGTGAGTTCTCTTCTTCCACCATGTGGATTCTGGGGATCAAACTCAGTTGTTAGTTTGGCAAGCTGTTTTACTCTCTGCCATCCCCAGAAAAAAATTCAGAATAACTGTTTTGTACTGTCCTCTATCTCTGTCCCCAGGCAGAGGCTGGTCTGGGCCAGGTTCTTGAAGGTCCCCAGGGACCCCAGGGCACTGGACTGTGTGCAGAGTGGGGACTCAGCAAAGCAGAACTGAACCCATAGATTCATAGCTCTGTCATTGAAACCCTGGAGGGTACCGTTGGAGCACTGAGCTATCAAGAGTCCTGTGATGCTGCAGAGATCTGCAGATGCTGGGCTGACTCAGGAAGCTCGTTCTGACCTGATCTGAACTATTGATGATATCAGATGCAAGGCAGGGGGTGACCGTGGAAGGGGCTTCCTGGAGGGGGCATCAGTGAGAGTCTGAGGGACAGGGAGGAGCAGGAGTGGGAGGGGGTCAGGCAGAGGAAGGAGCTAGATGAAGGGTGGGTTGGACTTTCCAGACCCACCTGTGCCAGGACAGACCACAGCATGTAAGAGAACCTCCGCCAGGCTAAGGTTTTATCTGTTGGTAGAATGCCTGCCTAGCACGCATGAGGCTCTGGGTTTGATCCTGAGCACCAAGTAAACTGGGCATGGTGGCTCCCAGAACTTGGGGGACAGAGGCAGGAGAACCAGAAGTTCAGACTAGGGTATAAGTGTACCTTGGCCAGGCAGTAGTGGTGCACGCCTTTAACCCCACTTCTCTGGAGGCAGAGGCAGGCAGATCTCTGAGTTTGAGGCCAGCCTGGTCTACAGAGTGAGCTTCTAGACAGCCATGACACACAGAGGAATTCTGTCTTGAAAAACAAACAAGCAAAAAAAAAAAAAAAAAAAAAAGAGCAAAACAAAACAAAAACCCCAAACCAACAAACAACACACACACACACACACACACACACGCAGAGAGAGAGAGAGAGAGGTTGTCTTTATAAAAAGAAAAGAAGGTGTTGTGAATTGTTTGGAGGGATAGATGCAAGACACCATTCTTGAAAGACACTAAAAACTAATCAAGAAGCTCCTAAGCCCCTCCCCTGTGTCAGGTGCTGGCTGGCATTTGTGACCAGAATTTACTGACTAAGACCTCCTGCAGGTAGTGCCCTGAGAGGATACCACAGCAAGCCTAGACAGTGATGCCTTGAGTTTGTAGCCATAGGAATGTAGATGAAGAGGTCATGAGACCTAGGCAGTGGGAAGGCCCAGTTTACTTGGTGCTCAGGATCAAACCCAGAAGGGATAAAGCACAGGCTGGGGAGCAAGGGCAAAGAGATGGGGAACAATCCAGCAGTAATCTCCACCTGGCTGAGTATCTTTGGGCACAAGCATGGACTTAAACAACACAGCTTCCCCCACCCCCACTTCCACTGCCCCCAGCTGACCTAGAGCAGGTAGCCAAGGAGCAGGACCTCCCAGGGTGGCATTCTCCTGGGTGCATGCTGCTTGGGTTACGGATTGGCAGAGGGGCCTTGGTAAGCCTTGAGCTGGAGCCGAGGAGAAATGAGGGGAGAGGAAGCTCTTGTCAGGATGCTCCTGCCTTTTAGGTTCCAGATATGTTATCCACACGTAGCAAGACCCCAAGTGCTCACCACTTTTGCCTTCCTGATGTTTATATTCTCTCTGTGAAGCCTGGGGTCTCCCAGGGGTCACAGTGGCCTGGGTACATGTACTCCCACCACCTCCCAGGCTTTCCTCTGCCCACCTCCATGCCGTGGCTAGCCCTTCCTCCAAGGGAGAGTTAAACCCTTCTTGGACATTTGTCAGAAAGATTTAAGCCACAAGGGACCCACTCCTACCCTGGGTCCTCAGGTTGCCATGGCAACAGGTAACCATTGCTTGTATTCTCCCACTGATCCAAGCAGAGGTTCACCCCACCTTCCCCATGGGTCTCTGCCTCTGTGTAGGCAGCTTAAGACCTGGAATGTGGCTTAGGTAAATCCCATTCCCTTGTGATCTCCTTAGAGTAAGTAGTAGCAGGAGGGGAACTAGGGTATGTGCCCTAGTCTAGCACCATCTTGTGTCCTGAGCAGAAGTGAGCCCATGGGGTCCAGGCTTCCCTTGGCCCCAGTCCTGGTCAGAAAGCCGAGATATGACTAAGAGGGGATCTTGGGAAAAACTTCCCAGCGTTTCAGGCTCTGTGATAGAATATCTGTGGAGAATGTAGCTTTCTGGGGTATGGCTTGTCCCCATAGGTCATAGGTCAGCCTCCCCTGACTCTACCACCACTGTCCTAATCAGGAGGCATTACAGAAACCACATGGTGTCTGTTCATCCATTCAGTATCCTTGGCCAGGGACTTGGGGGCAGCTGATGGCAGATCTCAATCTTTCCAACACTTGTCCACACAGGGGCTGCAGACCAGCTACTCCGAGAAGTATCTGAGAACCCTCCTCTGCCCAAAGAAGCTGGACAGCCGGTAAGGTCTGGGCAGACCTCAGCAGGCAGGAAGATGACGTTCTGGGAGTCATGTGTGGGAGGATGGGACCGGGTGAAGGCTGTGGAGGAGGTTCCTGGTAGTGGCATGGTCTGGAAAGATGAAGAGTGATCCAACTTGGATGTGGCCTTGGAGCAGAGGGCTTCCTCTGAGCTCCACCTACCTGGATGTGTCTGCAGCTCCCACCCCATCTCCAAGCATAGCCTCCTGTCTTGGGCCTGGGCCCGCTCCCAACATTCCATCTACACTCCACAGCCAGGTACGTGGCTCAGTGCAAGTCCAGGATTAGGCTGAGCCTTTTTGCTCAGAGAAACTGGTGGGAAGGGTCAGCCAATTCCTCAAATGTAGGCACAGCTGCCAGTCCTGGTCAGGGGATATACTGGCCTGGCCTGAAAGGGATGAGGCAAGAGTCTGGGTCACACTGTTCTCTTCATGTCTTCTTCTGGTGACTGGAGGATTCCGCCTGCCCTTGAAGCTGGTGATCTCAGCCACTCTGACAGGAACAGCCACTTATCAGGTATGTCCTGAAGTGTGTAGTGCCCTTTGTCGCTGAACCCCGGACCTCAGCCCCCAAACCTGAGACAGCTCAGGCCTCAATCAGATCCCCAGGTGTGCCCCCTCATCCAATCAGCTGCTCTGAGTCTCCTGAAAACACTAGCCTATTCTTGTGGGAGGGATACCAGCCCTCAGCAGGTTCATATGACGATTCACAAATTTCAAAGTCAACAAAAATAGGAATTTAAATTGTACCTCTACTGTTTACCTCTTGAGTGACCTTGGCCAAGTTTCTCCACCTTCCTGAACCTATTAGCTCATCTATAAAAGAGAAGAAATAAAGCCACTTTTCTATGCTGGGAAGATTTTGTGAGTTGTCATGTTGAATATATCACCACCCCCTTTAGCATAACTCTTAAAAACAAATAAACTACCAGGGACTAGGGCTGTATCTTAGTTGGTACAGTGCCTGCCTACAAGTATGAAGCTCTGGGTTTATCCCTAGCATCACAGAAACACATGCCTGTTATCCCAGCCGAGGTAGAGGCAGGAGGTTCAGAAGTCCAAGATCTTCCCCAGCTACGAAGTTAGTTTGAGGCTGGCTTGGACTAGAGGAGATCCTGTCTCAAAGCACAAACAAATAAGCAACAAAATAAAAACTCCTGAAATGATGTAGGTCTGGTTTCTCTCCATTTTACAAATGGGAAATTCGGACACAAAGAACCAGACTCAGCCAACTTTCTACAGCTAGAATCTCAGGGCAGCCAAAATTTGACTCCAGGTCTGTCAAACTTTAATGCTTATTTGTTTTCTTTGCTATGGAAAAGTTTGAAATCTCTCTCACACACTCGTTCGCGTGCGCGCGCACCTGTGTGTGTGTGTGTGTGTGTGTGTGTGTGTGTGTCCAGTATTATTCCTTAGTTGCCATCTACCTTGCATTTTGAGACAGGATCTCTCACTGGCGCTTGTCAAGTAGGCTAACTGGCTGGTTAGCGAGCACCAGGGATCTGCCTGTCTCTGCCTCCACAGTGCTGGGATTATGAGCAGGAGCCACCGAGCCTAACTTTTTGTATGGGTTCTGGGAAACCAAATTCAGCTTCATGCTATTCAGGTTCACACTAATCGAATCCAGTAAAGTGACTGGTGCTCTTTACTGACTGAAATATCACCCTAGCCCAAAGTTGGAAATGTTTGTATTTTGAATCTTAGATAGACAAGTAGAGGTAAATCAATAGGGATAGCTATATGGAGGCCTATCCTCAGCCTCCTGGGCTAAGGTCATACATTCATGTCGCATTCTATTTGAAGGCACAAGGACCCAGGCTCAGGGTGGTTGGGGCATGTGGATGCAGCCTGCTACAGTCTCCCCTGGTAGACTAGGAAACACTTTTCCAGGGTGATGGGGCCTGCTATGCACACAGCTGCCCCCCACCCCGAACCTCATAGCAGGGCTCTTCCAGGTGGCCCTGCTGCTGCTGGTGAGTGTAGTGCCTACTGTGCAGAAGGTAAGGGAGGGGATCACCACAGATGTCTCCTACCTGCTGGCTGGCTTTGGGATCGTGCTCTCCGAGGACCGGCAGGAGGTGGTACAGCTGGTGAAGCATCACTTATGGGCTGTGGAAGGTGAGCTTGCCTAGTGTCCCTAAAGGCGGTAGTGGGGATGGGAGACAGGCTACTGGACCTGGTGATGGCTTGCCATGAACACACAGGATGCCTTTGGCCACGCCCCTTTCTACTCCTCATCTCAAAATGGGGTGGTTGGCACTTCCACATCTCACAGGGCATGACATGATGCTTATCAACCTTTGTGACATCTATGTCACAGCTCCAGTGTCTTTGACCAACTGTCTAGATATAGTGACAGAGAAGCCCATGGTCGTGTGACTTCAGGGTGGGGAGGGAGAAGGCGTGTGTGTGGGATGGGGGCTAGGATTTATTAGCATCCTCTTGGCACAGGAAGCACCTGGCAGAGTACTCACTTTCTCCTCCCAATCCTTGTCTACCTAGACAGACTCTCCCTCTCCCTGCCTCCCATGAGATGAGCTTCAAGCCAGGGGACAACACAAGCTGTCCCTTCAGTGGACTGATACACCCTACCTACCCCTACTCTCTCCCAGAAGCTTTGTGGGGGACACATGGAGAGGGGCCAGACTTTGGTTGTTCAGTCAGACACAGTAGATAGAATGTAGGTCTCCTGAAGCCCAAGTTAGTGCTCCCTTCCACCCTGTCTGTCATAAAGCCTGATAGTCATGATTCATGGGACCTGTCTCATCGGTCCACTTGAGTGTCCCTTGCTGAATGAGCATTCTGGCTTTGGGGGAACAGCACGCAATGGTTAGAGCTTAGGCTACCAACATTGCAGATGGTGGTGTAGCTGTTTGACATATTTCCTGACACCATCCCAGGGCATGCTGGTAGTGTATGGCAGAGAACGGGGAGCATACAGGGGCATGAGCTGTTAATCCCTCCTTGAACAATTCCTGTGAGAGACCTTGTGAGCCTGCTGTGAGGGTCTGGAGTAAGGCTGGTTGGCATCCATGACATCCTTACACATGTGTTCAGAGCTCTCTGTCCTCCATTACATACTTACACATGTGTTCAGAGCTCTCTGTCCTCCATTACATTCTTACACATGTGTTCAGAGCTCTCTAGCCACCATTACAGAGACTACGGACCTGACCTCAGTGTCTGTGTGTGGTGAGGGGTGCGGGAGAGAAAGCTGAGAAGGGCCCCGCCTAGAAGAGATAGGTAATAGTTGCCACCTCCTTCACTATGGTAGGTGCAGGGCATGACCCTCTGTGGTCTGAACAAAACCACTACCAGAAGTGCAGATGGGTTTATAGCCAGGGTCCTTATGGGAGGTGGGCCACAGCAGCACGGCCATCAGTGAAACTTGTGATTGTCACAAGGCCCTCTTGAGGGACAGCTACATCTGCAGATAGAGGGGAGCTGCAGGCAGATGCCAGGTAGGAATCTCCCATTGCTGGGGTCATAGCAACGTAAGCAACAAAACCAAGGCAAAGGCCAGGTCTGTGGCTCCTCCGTGCCCTTTTTCTTTCTTGTTCTTGAGCAGGATGGGGCTGTAGAGGGTGTCAGCCCATGCTGAACCTAAGAACCTGAGATGGGGCTTAGTGGTTTCTCCTTAGAGTGAGGGATAAGGGTCAGAGGCTGTGGGAAATCCTCCAGCCCGTCCTCCCCACTCTCTCTCTCATCCAGCATGTTATATCTCGGCTCTGGTCTTGTCCTGCTCATTAACCTTCCTGCTCCTGATCCGTTCCCTGGGAACTCACAGGTCAGTGACAAGCCATGACACTCTAGTACAGAGGTATGGCAGGGGTCCAAGTCCTGAGGACTTGAGGGAGGGAGAAGCCTCTGTAGTCCAGGCTGCCACAGGTACCCCTGCCCCTTTGTATGTGGTGGGAGGAGAAGGTGGGTCTTGCCTGCCCGAGGGGCATGTATGGCTGTCCTGGAGATCTGTGAGTGGTACAGAACACAACACATTGCCAGGATTGCCAGGCAGTTTGCCTGTGAGAAGGTGACCTGGCAAAGAAGAATCCAATTCCAGTGGTCAAAGGGGCAGGACAAAGGGTACCAAAGGCAGGAGTGACTGCATGAGTAAGAGCAGAGAAGCGGAAGCCAGAGGGTGAGCAGGCACCCCTGAAGGTGGGGGGCATTGAGGAGGTTGTCCCAAGGAATGAGCGATGCAGAGAACTGGTCCCTACTCTGAGCACTCAATAGGCCTCAGCGCTCCTACTCAGGGACTTGGACCACAGAGCTGGCCCTACTTGCCCTGGCGTTTGAGGCCCTCTGCCTTGCCTGCCTCTCTGGTCACCCAGCTGGATTCCAATTCCATCATTTCCAGTGAAGGTTCGGGTTGTGTCTCTATCTGGGGTCTCCTAAGACTACACAGACTTTCCTCTGGAGGACCATTCCCAGACTGTTAACCTCCAGGCTCCTGCAGCCCTAAGGTTCCCTGCTGATGACCAGATGCTCACCCTGGGCTAGCTACCACTTAGAGGTACTGTGTTGTCCTCTGAGGTCACTGTTCTCAATCCAGGGCCAACCTTCAAGCACTGCACCGAGGGGCTGCCCTGGACCTAGGTCCCCCTCTTCAGAGTACTCACCCCTCTCGCCAAGCCATAGTCTGCTGGATGCACTTCAGCGCCTATCAGACAGCCTTCAGCTGCCTCGGTGAGCCCCCTTGTCATGTTCCTAGAGTTGGGACCTGGTGGGAGGGATGGATACTTGGCAAGGATTTTACTGGGCTGGGCAAAGAAAGAGCAGTAGGAGGAATGTACTTGCTCCCCTTGCTCTCAGGAAACTTGCTCTAGATGGCAGTGCAGGAGCCCCCAGAAAAGGGAGCCCTTCACATGAAGGTATCCCTGGGTAATTGTGGGCAGAATGGACCTGGGTCTGGATGTGGCATATTCAAGGTGGCATATGGCTGCTTCTGTAAGGGAAAGTTGTTCGTAATGGGCTGCCTCAAGGTGAAGAGTTCCTTGTTCCCGGGGAGTGCAAGCAAGGTTCCATGGACATGTGAAGGCTGCATAGCAGTGTTGCCTGAGACAGTCCGGTCAGATGAGCCTCAAGGAGTTTTCTAGACCATGTCTCAAGTTCTCCCCTTAGACAACACAGTGTGCAACACACTTGAACTGTGAGGGACTTGACCTCTCCTGCAGATCCGAAGGCCAGACCTGGCCTTGAGATCTCCCACTCTCCCCCAGGGGAGGAGAGAAGGGGATGCAAGATGGAGGAAAGAGTAGAACAAAAAGTTGTGTTCTCATCTTGGTCAACCTTAGACATCCCAAGCCTCTCTGTATACATCATCCCAGGTGACTTTGTGGCCTGATGGCTTCCACAGCCACACTCAGTCCCTACAGGTACTAAGCTCTGATTCAGAGGTACACACATGCTCATTTAAAAGGTAATTTGTGCTCCAAACTCAGGCTCAAGTTGGGGGAAATACCATGGATTCTGAGGCAACTGGAGTCTTACAACAACCCTCCAAGGCAGGAACTATTACCCCTATTTTATAGAACAAAAATCCAGGGCTCAGGCAGTGTCATAGAATGGAAGAAGCCACAGAAGCCTCCTAGAGTGCAGGGGTAAGCTGGCTCCCACAGGACCTCCTGTCTGTCCCCTTGTCCCTTCTGCCCCCTGCAGGGCTCCTGGTACAGCAGGTCATCTTCTTCCTGGGGACCACCATCCTGGCCTTCCTGGTGTTTGTACCTTTGCTCCATGGCAGAAACCTCCTGCTCCTGCGATCCCTGGAATCCACATGGTGAGTGAGGCAAAGATCAGGGGCTCTGGGACTTTCCATAGAGTCCTCTAACAGCATCCCTTTCCTCATCCTGCCCACATACAGGCCCTTCTGGCTGACTTTGGCCTTGGCTGTAACCCTGCAGAACATAGCAGCCCACTGGGTCTTCCTGGAGACTCACCATGGTTACCCAGAACTGACCAACAAGTAAGATGGCCCCCGAGTTTGTGGTTCTCTCGGGTCCCAGGCTCTTCTCTCTTTCTGTAGATTTTACCTCCTTAAATTCCTCTTTCTGGGGCTAGAGAGATGATTCAGTGGTTAAGAGCACTGACTTTTCTTCCAAAAGACCCAAGTTCAATTCCCAACACCTACAGGGCAGCTCACAACTGCTCTAACTCCAGTTCCAGGGGACCAGCACCCTCACACAGACATACATGCACACAAAACACCAATGCACTTGGAATAAAAATAAAGTAAAAAAAAGTTAATGCCTCTTTCCTGTCTTTCACAGAGTCAGTCTTCTCCCAGAAGATTTTGGGGGTGCTAAGAACCCACAGCCTTGCAAACCCAGGGTCTAGGGCATAGTAGACACATTCTGCCACTGAGCTGTCAGCCAAGTTCTGCCAGGAGCCTTTCTTACTTTGAGGACCATTGATGTACTCTTCACCACAAACTCCTCCTCACTTGGGAGCAAGGGTGTGGGAGAGTATCAGAGGAGGAAGGTGGGAACACATACAGACACAGGTGGAGGGCTGAGGGATGGCTCAGTTGGTAATGTGCTTGCCATGCTAGTTGATCCTCAGCCCCCACATAATGGTGGCACACGCCTGGAGGATCCCTGGGGTTTGCTGGCCGACTTAGTCTTGCCAAATCAGTGAGCTCCGTATTGAGTGAGAGATCCTGTCTCAAAAACCAAGGGAGAGAATGATAGAGGGAGACACCTGCCAGTAAACGTTGGTTCCCCTGGGAGGTAAAAAAGTAATGTCTCCAGTAAATGTCAGTCATTGGATAACAACAGTGCCTGAAGTTTGGGGCTGCCATCCTGGTCTGGCATAGGACTGGGTACGGGGAGGCCTGCCTCAGCCTTTCTCCTCCCTACCCCCAGGCGCATGCTCGGCGTAGCCACTTTTCTTCTCTTCCCTGTCAACATGCTGGTGGGAGCTGTAGTGGCCATCTGGCGAGTGATTCTTTTTTCCTTGTACAACACTGTTCACCTTGGCCAGATGGACCTCAGCCTGCTGCCACCAAGAGCTGCCTCCTTGGATCCAGGTAAGGTCACTAGCAGGATCTGGGGACTGAGCTGTCCAGATAGTTGCCCTACCCTGACCTCTGAGCTGATCTGTGTATGTATGCTTCTGTATGCATGTGTAGCAGGTGTGTGAGCATTGCCAAGGCTCTGTGGTGTAAGACCATGTGTGTGTGTGTGTGTGTGTGTGTGTGTGTGTGTGTGTGTGTGTGCACTGCCAGGGCTCCACAGGTGTATGGAGTGAGTGTGCTGAGAAATGACAGAGCTTCTTGGTGCAGGACAAGCCTGTGCAGCAGGGTGGGTGTGGTGTATTCTAACAAGGGTGCCAGTGCCTGTGTGCAGTGTGTGTGTGCCGTGCTTGGTTGGATGCTAGTGTGTACACATCTCCCTGGATGCCTCTTGCTGTTTCTGGGTACCTCTAGTCTGCCTCAGCATTCTGTCCCCAACCAATTCTAGGCTATCACACATACCGAAACTTCCTGAGGATCGAGGCCAGCCAGTCACACCCAGCAGTCATAGCCTTCTGCACCCTGCTCCTTCATGCACCAAGTCCACAGTCCCGGCCCCCACTGGCCCCCCAGGACAGCCTCAGACAAGCAGAGGAAGAAGAAGGTACTTCTTCACCTGGGTTGGGGATGCAGACTCCCAGTTTCTCAGGGAGGAGTCGCAGGAGGCCTCTCCAAAATAGTGAGCAGCAGGAAGTCTCCCATCCTCTGTCCTTGAGCTTCCTGTTGTCAGCCTCCTGCCTGGGTCTCAGGGTAATTTTTTCTTTAATATGGACTTGCACACACATGTACCTTATGTGTGCACAGAGACTAGAATGGATGTCCTGACACTCCTCCAAGGCTTCCTCCTGGAAAGAGACAACACCTCCTTTTCTGCCCAGGAGGTCTATGCTAGAGGATACTATGCCTCCAACCCCACCTTATGCTGTCTAGCCTGACAGCTTCTAGTTCGTCACAGACCTCATCTCCTCTCTCCTCTTCCACCAGCAGAGTAGCATGCTTCTGCAGCCCAGCCTTCTGCCATTCCCAGGCTAGTGGCTGGAACCCTGGCTGTGCCTGGAGGTTTCAGACCCCTCTCGGGTCTGGGGCCTGTGGAAGCTTGGCTGGAACTCACACACTCTCTCTCTCTCTCCTTACGTCTTCCTCCTTTCCTCTCCCTCAGGGATGCAGTTGTTACAGACCAAGGACCTGCTAGCCAAGGGAGCAGGACCCAAAGGCAGCCAGAGTAGGGCCCGCTGGGGTTTGGCCTACACACTGCTACACAATCCAAGCCTGCAGGCCTTGCGGAAGGCAGCCCTAAGCGCCAAGGCCAATGGCACCCAGCCTTGAGGGTGAGGAAAACCACGCCACCCTGCTGTGTGTGCTGAGGCACATTCCTGTCTACCATCCTCCCTCCCATCCATGTCAGCATTCCCCCTCCCCCAGCGGCAGCTCTGCCAGCCAGCAGATCCCTGTGGGATCAGGAGACTGGAGTCACTGTGTCTACACCACCAGCCTCAAGAGGACTTTGGTCTGTGCTTGTCCACCAGGCTACCAGCTAGGGATCTAGAGAAAACAGCTGGTGGGTCTTGAAACTGGCAGAACAGGGGTGGCCACATTTAGGCCTCTCCTCCCCACACTGGCTCTGCCCTCAGCCTGCCTGCTGGGCCTCACTCAGGCCCCTCATGCTCCTTGGTGAGGATGAAAGGTCTGGATATCTCCCATCCCAGCTGGCCCCACTCTCCACCCTGAAGGTGGAGTCTGTGTGGGCTTCTTCTCAGCCCCAGCTTCTCCTTCCTCTTTCTTCCTACCACTCTTTCCAGTGCAGCCAAGTCAGACTCCAAGAGGCCCCACTGAGCTGCCCACTCCAAGAGCTACATATTTTTGTAGTTTTAATGCCATTAGTTGTCATGAAAGAAGTTAGTGTGTTCCTAGTAATAAATGTGCCCTGAGGAACATTCCTCCTCCTGGGGAAGGGCTCTCAGGAGAGCCACCTACACTGTCAGTAAATCTAATCTGAAGTTGATTTGGGGGAGTAGGGGGACACTTGGGGTGCTGGGATGGACTCCAGGTGAGGATAGAGAAAACTGCCTGTTTTATGTGATGATGGCTGGGGATCCTACGATGCCATTCCTGGGCTTCCAGGTTTTAAAGGATGGGCAGGATCTGTGGAGAAGAGGCTGCGTGCAGGAATGACAGAGATCCTAAAGAATAAAGAAAGGAACAGAGGGGAGAAAGATGTCATTCAGAGCAGGGAAGGCTAAAGGCAAGGGCAGGGATGCAGGCAGCAGCAGAGATACAGACACACTGGGGTCTTAGAGGAGATGGAAGATGTATGAATCAGAGAGACGCTTTAGATGTGGTTCACCATGTCTCCCCACCCTGTTTGAGCCAGGGACTCTCAAAATCATGTTTATTCCCAACTATAGATCAAGCACATACAGGGGTCACCAGAGCTACCTACTGGCCCCTCAAATCCATGACCTGGACTGCCCAGAGGCCAAAAAAAAAAGCATGTTTTAAGCCCCCCCCCAGCCTACTGAAAATGTCTTCTATGTGGGGTATCAATAACCCACACAGTCACAGGAGGATGACTCCAACACTGCTTCTGCCCTTAACAGGGAGACAATCACAACAGAATCTAACCTGGCTGGGTCACAAGACAAGGGATCAAAGGAAGGGGCCTGGTTCACACTGAAGGTGGGAGAGGATCCAAGAAAACATCTTGGAGGAGGTGATGCAGAAAACTGATTCAGCCAGAAGAAGACCAGGAAAAGGGAATACTGGGGGGGGGGGGCATGAGTATATAGAGATGAAGATGACGCAGCTTCTTCACAGGCTTTGTAAGAAACTACAGATAGGGCTGGTCCACATGGTGGCAGCCAGTTAGGGGGGTCCATGGCTGGCTGGGAATTCATGCCATACACCAAGGACAGCGGAAGCCACAAAAGAGCAACACAAAGGAGTACCCAGTTTCCTTGGAGACAACAGTTCCCATGTTGCTCTGCCTTGAGTGGTAAGTGACAGGTACTAGGTAGACCCTCAAGATGCCCAGCCTGCTCAGTGGTGAGTGGAATGGGGATGCTGGGCTCCAAGTCAGAACTGTGAAGTCCAGATGGTCAGTCAATTGGACCTTTAGGCACTGCCTTTTCTTTGTGTTTTGGGGAGATAGGATCTCATGTAGCCCAGGCTGGCCTCAAATTTGCTATTCTATAAGAATCTGGTCTTCCTGGCTTCATTTCCTGAGTGCCCACCTCCCAAGTGTCAAGATTACAGACATGCAACACTGCTCCAGGGCCACGTGCATGCCAGGCAAGCACTCCGTCAACTCAGCTACATTCCTGGCCCTCTACCCTTTCATTTCTGACACAACTGAAACCCAGAGATGTGCAGTAACTGACCCAAAGGAACACAGCATACAGGATATGGGGGGTCAGATGTGAAGACATTCTTGACCCCGGCCAGCTGTTGCCTAACAAAGCCTCAGCATGACCCACAAGTTGGAGAAGGATGAGGGTAATAGGAGGCCCTACACGTGCGCCCCAGTGTGGGGGAGCCACTGGCCAGCTGCCAAGCTCACAGCTGCTCCCTCAGACTCTTTAACCTCCTGCCTTTATTCTGCTTAGTTCAGCAGTCCTGGGGCTCTGGGAAGGGGGGCAGCCTTTCCCCTGAAAGTCACCGACCCTGTGTGCACACATCCAACCTTTAAAGGTGGGGAATAGGGAGGCACCTTTGACCCAGCACAGGCCTGGCATTCTGCAGTGTCTCTACAGGCAGAGGTATCTACAACCTCACCGCTGTGGCTAGCCTCCAACTCCCAGGCCTCCCATCGGTCAGAGGGTTTCACTCTGGGGCCATTTCCTTTTTCTAGAGGGAAAGCCCAGGTGCAGCTCTATTCCCGGTCCCTTCCTCCAAGGCTCTCTTCAGCTTCTTCCTCGTCCTCTGTCCCCTACTTCCTCATCCTTCAGTCTCATCCCTTGCTCTTTCTCATCTGACTCCAGCTCTATTCCTAACACTCTCCTTGGGTCTACAATGCAAGCTCTTGCCTGACCCCTTTCGAAACACAGAAAGCTACGCTCAGGTTCCCATCCCACCTGTCCCATGAGCTAGTTTGGAGACAGAAAATCTACGGCTTGGCTCATGTCAAGGCCCGGCGATGAGTCTGGGCTCTCCTCCCATGCCACCAGAAACACTCTGCAATATGTCCTACAAGTCCTTGTCTTGTGTTGGCACAACTCTTCCATGTGGCTGTCTCATTCTCTCAAAAGGACTTTTAGATTCCCAACAGACTTCCAGGCAGACGAAGGGGAGCATCAGAAATGCTGTTTATTTATTTATTTATTTTCTGTTAACCCAGACTGACCAGCCACTTTGGAGGGGCAGGCCACTGGTGCATACTTGGAAATAAAGGAGGGGCAAGTATCTTGAGAGGCAGGCACAGGCTGTGGGATTTGGGGTGAGAGGAGAAAGAGGTCCAGCCAGGGATGGTTTCCACATTTTACCAAGGGCATCAAGAAGACAGGGAGAGCTTTTAGGCTTCCCAGCCCTTGCCTGTAGTACTTCCTTTCCTGGTCCTGTACTGGCCACTCCAGGTTCCCTTCCAGCCCAGCCCCAGTGCCCACCTGGGTGGCGTCCCAAGCTCCTTACCTCAGAACCTAGAACTCTCAAGGTGGGCCATAGTTAGGGCATTATTGTTGCCCTGTTAGCATGCTGCCCCTGCTAGGAGCACAGACAATGCTGTTAGCAGCAATTAGCACCACAGACTACGAGTTCTGGGATATGAATCTATCCCAGTTGCTAGCTCTGAGCTGATCTACAAGTTGGAATAATGAGTGGCCTGGAAGAGCTTAGAAAGGGAGGTAGGAAAATTAAAGTCCCCAGGCCAACCTCAGGTCTCACCAACTCCAGGTCTCATGGTACTTAGAAGGAACATTGGCAGGATCAGGAGGAGTTAGGAAGGCGCTGGGGCTGCTGCAGCCAGCTGGGAAGGGTGTGGTTAGAAGCAGGCAAGGAAGACAACAAGCAAGCTTTGACCCAGAAGAAGCAGGCCTGGAAGCTGCTGCGCAGGCTTCCCTTCTGCTGCTATCGCAGCCTCTGGGGCTCCAGCACGGCTGAGGTAAATGATAACCACATTGTCTTCAGGCCCAGATGGCTGTACCTCGTTGTCAACTGTGTAGCAGCCTTTGCCCTCCACCGCTTTGCCATGAAACCTGTGGCCCAGTGCATCCTCTCCCCCCTCACCTGGAGTGGCCAATGCCACATTCACAGAGCTCTCAGCACTGCCCAGCTCATTGGTGGCCAGACAGCTATAGGTGCCCTCCTCCAGCTTGCTAAAGTCAGGGATAAGCAGACTGCCATTGGCAAAGGCCTGGAAGCGTGGCCGCCCACTGGCTGCAGGGGCACCGGGTAGGGCACGTCCGTCAGTGCCTACATTAGGACTGGCGATCTCCACTGTGCCACCCGGGGTGTGGATATGCCAGTGAAGCTGGGGGGCTGGCTGTCCATCCACGTCACAGTGGAGTGCCAGCACAAAGCCCGGCCACAGCTCTGCTCCATCCTGGCTGGGCTGGTACCTTAGTTGCACTGAGGGCGCTGAGCACGGCAGGGGTGGCAGGCGGCTCAGCGGGGTGCCCTTCAGCACATGTGGTGAAGTACAAGCAATGTTGTCCTGTTCTGGAATAGACACTGCTGTGGCCAGGGCCCATGTCTTGAACCACACAATGCCACAGGTGCAGTCAAAAGGGTTGTCATTGATCTGCAAGTGGGACAGCGCGGTGAGCGACGCAAAGGTGCCCTCGGCCAAAGTGTGCAGGCGGTTGTGATTGAGCTGCAGAGAACGTAGGGCATGCAGGCTGCGGAAGGCATCCCTAGGGATGAAGGTCAGCTCATTGCTGTCCATCTTGAGCAGCTGCAGAGTGCTGAGATTGTGCAGGTCGCTCCAGGCAAACTCAGAGATGAGGTTGTGGCTGAGGTCCAGACTCTTGAGGTGACCCAGTGGGGCCAGGGCACCAGCAGCCACCGAGCGGATCTCATTGTGTGCCAACCACAGTGACTGCAGTAGAGGCACCTCCCTGAAGGCTCTCTCCGGCAGGCCTGGCAACTTGTTGGCTGACAGGCTCAGTGTGGTCACATTGGCTGGGAAGCCTAGTGGCACAGCCTCTAGGTCACGATAGGCACAGTCTGCAATCTGGAAGCCATACTTCTCTCCACATTCACAGGACTCCGGACAAGCTTGCACCAGGTTCAGAAGAACAGCCCAGCAAAGCAGGCACAGTGCCTGCATGGTACCTCCTATGGGGAAGGGCATGCCACCCAGGTTAGCTTAAGGAGTCACAGAAAGGCCTTGTCCCTCCTCAGACCCCAGCCATTAGAAGGCCCTGCATAACCCAGACAGAATCCAACACCACCTAACCCACCACCCCCATTCCATAGGAGAAGAAACTGAGGCCCATAGGAGGGTTTGGACTTGCCAAGGTCGTGTAGGCAGGCAAGGAGAAGACAGGATGGAAGTGGACCCCAGCTTCTCCTCTGCACAAAGCTCTTTCTGCCTCGGCCTGTTCCTAGCTGACTTTATGACTTGAATCTGTTTTCCAGCCACCTCCTCCCCCAGTGCTTCACAGAACCTCCCTCTGCCCTCCCACATCCTGGCTACAGCCCCTCCCACTGGAGCCCCCCATAGGTATGTTTTGCTGCCCTGGTCCAGACAAGGCCCCTTGTGCAATGCACACACACACACACACACACACACACACACACACACACACACCCTCCACCCCTCCCACTCCGTGGCCTGTTCTGTTCAAACTACTTCATGCAGCTGCCTAAATAAACCAACCAGGACCTCTCAACTAAGGCAGGGGTGGGGATGGGGGGTGGGGGTGGGGGCAGAGGCTCATCTCAAATGCAGCTGGGAGTTCTGGGGTTGAGATTGTGCAAGCAGACGCTCTCTGGAGAAAGGGTCTGTTCCAAGTCCATCAAACCCACAGCCTGAAGTCTAGCAGACCTCCACT